TGTTGTTTTCCACTTACAATTAATGTGGTGGCATATTACTAAGTTTTTGTTGGATTGTTGAACAGAACTGTTTGCAGTCTTGCTGTTTGAATTCCCACTTTATATGTTCCACTTTTGTATCTTGAACAACTATTTGTAAGAGGATAGTATGTAAAAATCAACTAGTGATATCTTACTGTTTATTTTTTCCTTAAACATATGTATTATTTCTACCCATTTGCTGTTTAGTCTTACTTTACATAAAATAAAAAAAGCAAGTATGTGGTGGCTTCTTTATCTCTTTTAATGATTTTTGATTTGAAGTTCACTTTGTTTGCAAACACAATAGCTACCCTTGCCTTTTTCTGGCTTCCTGTTTCATGGAATACTGTTTTCCACCCTTTGATGTTTAACCTATGAGTTTCTTTTTGAGTCAGATGTGTTTCTCGTGTACAGCATATTGTGGGATCCTGTTTCTTGATCCATTCTGTCATTATGTTTCTTGTGACTGGTGAATTGAGCCCATTTATATTTATGGATATCACTAATACGTGCTGGCTTGACTTTGCCGTGTTGTGTTCCTATTGTTGGTTTTCTGCTTTTCTTCCTTGTTTAATTTCTTGTCCAGTCTGGTGGATTCTTGTTGTTGTTGTTTGTAGATTTTGGTCATTTTTATCTCTATCTAGTATGTCTTTCAGTACTCTTTCTAGGGTTGGTTTTGTGGACATGAATTTAGTCAGTTGTTTTTTGTCTTGGAAGTATCTTGTTTCTGCAGTAGGTTTGACGGACAGTTTTTCAGGAACATCAGTCTGGGTTGAAAGTTGTTTTCTTTTAGTGCTTGAACTACTTCACTCCAAGGTCTTCTTAAATTGGAGGTTTGCGCTGAAAAGTCTGCTCTGATTCTAATAGGCTTCCCTTGATAGATGAGTTGTGTCTTTTCTCTAACAGCTATCAGTATTCATTTTTTATGCTGTGTGTCTTGGATCTTAATTATTACATGTCTGGGGGTAAATTGTGTTGCTTGTGACTGTTGGCGTTCTGTATACCTCACTTTTGTGTATATCAGATTTTTTCCCTTTGTGTGGGAAATATCCTGCCATTACTTCTGTGAATATTTTAGTTATTTCATTTGCATTGACTCCTGCAACTTCACTGATGCCTATTAGCTTATGTTGTTTCTGTTGGCATCATGATGAAGCTCCTGGATTGCCATTTCGTGCTGCTTTTTGTTTTCATAAGTTCTAACGTTTCGGATCACTATCTGTGATCCACTCATCAAGGTCTGAAATTGTATCCTCATCTTCATTTAAATGGTTTTGTTAACTTTCAATAGAATTTTTTTTTATTACTTGGATGACTCTTAGAATTTGTTTTATGGATTTTGCTTTTTACATTGTTCATTCAAAGTTTCGATCAATTTTCCATGCTCCTGTATTTTTTAATCTATTTTTTCTTTAGCTATGATGAGCAACGTATTTACCAAGGTTCTCATTTTGTGTTTATATAAGACATCATTTCTGATTTTATTGTTTCTATAGCCTCATGGATTTTTTTTCTTTACTTCATTTGCTCTCTTTTCAGAGATTCCCGGTGTGTGACTTTTAAAGTCCTCTATTTCATTGTCACATGTACTTGCTCCTGATGGACTAGATGTTGGAGATAGAATTTTTCCTCTTCATTTTGTCATTTTCACATTTTGGGTAAATATTTGGTCTTTTAATCCCAACAGTCTGAACCATAGGTAGTGGTAATTTTAGCGTCCTACTGTGTGGTTGATGTTTGACCAGTTTCTGGGTATCACAGTGAAGAGGAGAGTCAGTCACCTGAATTTCTCCTTCAGGGTCCGTTGGGTGAGTCCTATATTCTTTCTGGACTAACCAACCTAAAAGTATAGATGTAGGTTAACTCTGAGTTCCTGCTGTTGCTAAGTCTTCAGGTTGTTGTAGGTCAGCAGCTCTCCCTGTCCATAGTGTTTGTGTCAGCTGAGGCCCCTAATGTGTCAGTGGGGTCTCATGAGCTCTTTTAATTTTCTCCAAGATGGGGAGGCCTTAGTGGCACACTCCTCAATCTGTCTGATGTTCTCTGTGTGGAGGAGGGGATTACCCACTGTCTTGCCAGGTTCATCAAGGTCTTACCAATTGGAAGGAGTTTCACTTCTGCTCCTATTTACCCACGGCAGACCTGTATTTTAGGGGCAAAATTACCACACTGACTAGAGCCTGCTGAGGTCTTCTGTTTCGGGGAGGGGTTCCATAGTCTCCCACCCAGCCAGCACGGCAATTCACTATAGTACAAGTTCTGGAAGAAGGGGTTGAATCCAAAGACCAAATGAAGTACTAGCTAGGTCCAGGTGTTGGGTGGATTCCCCAAAGAACAGCCCACTGTGGCTGTCCTAGGTGATCAGTCATACCACTGGTGTCCCAGATGTTCTGTGTAGAGGCAGGCCCAGTGGCAGCAGTCCCAAGCAACCCAGGAGTGCTGGGGTGTCCCTTGGTGGCAGTATGAGGTGGATCATTTTCCAGGGTGTCCCAGATGTACCCAATGAGTGGTGGGCCCAATGGTGGCAGTCCTAGGTGGCCCAGGACTGCCTGGGCAACCCAGGCAGGGGTTCTTGTAGAAGGGTTGTCCCAGCAGTTGCCTAGGTCATCCTGGGGCTTCCCAGTTGTGCCTAGCATCCCAGATGTCCCTTGGGGGAATGTTGGGTGTTAAGCATGGTGCAGAAGCTGTGTTCCATGGTGGTGTGGTGTGGTTCTCTGTCTTTGTGCTTTTAAAAACTAACTTGCAAGTTGGGAAGAATTAATTAAATCTTCTACTTAATTAAATCTTTTGTGTGTGTGTGATTTTGAGACAAAGTCTTGCTGTGTAGTTCCGGTTAGTTTTGAGTTCATTTTGTAGCCCAGGTGGTCTGAAACTTGCACCAATGCATCTAATTCAGCCTCCTGAGTTCTGGGATTACAGGAGTGCACCACCACTGCAGCATTTTTAAAATCTTTCTTTTCATAGACAAAACCTATTGTTCCATTTCATTCCAAGTAATATACTTTGTATTTTTTAAATTAAATTAAAAAAATTTTTTTGGTACCAGGGAGCAAACTCAAGACTTTGCGTTTGCGTAGCAGGCACTTACACTGCTGAGCTAAACACCCGGCCCTCAACTAATATACTTCAATCAGTGGTTTCTCAAGTATATTCTTATTTGCTTTCATCTCTGAGATACACTATCTATCTGCATTATGCTCAGATGAATGAGTGAAATACATTAATTAAGTATCCAGTGGCCTGGATTACATCAGTTTTAAAGTTTCTTCGAGAATTCTTTCAAGCCCAACAAGAATGACACAAATTCTTAAATGATTTTAAATTCTGGAGAACTATACTGTTATGTGAACAGAGAAGTAACAAGAAACATAACAGCTATGTTGTAAACAAAGTAGTTTATTACTTTTTAAAAACATAGACAAGGAAATGAAAAATAAATATAAAATTTAGGATTCCCTCACAAAACAACTGCAAGTAACATTCAAATCTTTAAGATTGAAATTATGTAAATAATTTACTTTCAAGTTGGTAGGTTGTGTTATTTGAGAAGGAAAGAAATGTATTTCATGAGGCAAAACACTAACTTTTTTCTTTTAATTGGTACTGGGTATCAAACTCACGACTGCCTGCTTGCAAGGCAGGTTCTTATGCCACTGAGCTAAATCCCCAGCCCCAAAACACTAATTTTTAATACTGAGGTAACATTGTTTTAAGTTGTCTAAAATTACTTAATTTCTGTCCTGTAAAACCTATATTATCTTCCTAAGGTTTGTGTAATTTCTGTCTTAAATAATCGGGCTCCCAATGGGGCACGTGATGCCAGGGTAGGATGTAAGATAGGTTTCAAAATAAACTTTCATATCAAGTGCTGCTGTTGGGGTCCAATTCCTTTATGAAACATGCCAATTAATATTGCTCTTAATACTCTCCTTCAGCAAATCAAGAACCAAGAAATTTAGGTACTCACAATAGAGATAGTGCACGGTTCTTAAATAACTACTCACAAACAAGAGGGAAACTCTTTGCAATATAAAACATCCCAAAAATCTTAGTGTCATTTTAAGCTTTGGTACCGTGTATAAGTACAGAAGTTAAAACATTATCATATATTATCTGGAAGTATTAACTTGAGAAATGTGAAAATTAAGCTTTTAACTTTTGTACCAGTTCTGCTTTCTATCCTTTTTTAAGAGACTAGAAAAAGTTTAGAATAAATGAATAATATTCTAAACTCACCAAACTGAAATGTTGGTATAATGATTTGTAAGTTTGCAGCTCTTCTACCTGCTCCAGTGCCCTTAAAGGCACAAACATAGTAGCCAAAGGCTTAAAACTACTCTGAAACTTTTGGGATGCCTTGTACTTTACTATCTGTAGTGATTATTGAACCATAATATTGGTTTGCATTATAGAAATATCTTCGGACATGTTTACTTAATAAAGGGAAATCATCAAAAAATTATCAGCACCATTTTTAACTCATAAGATTCTGTATGAACCCGGTAAAAGTAGATAGCCAATAGCAGATGATTTTTCTTTATGGCCACAGACATGGTATGGCATGAGGCTGCTAAGTAGTGCTTGTAAAGAACCTGAGTGGCAAGTGCGCTCTGGCTGATTTTTTGTGTAAAATTGCTGACATGACTGCCTAGGAACTCAGTGATACCACAGGAAGGAAGAACCTCCAATACTGATGAAGTGGTAGTGTACTCCTAAATGATTTCATGAGTGTGAATACTCCTATTTTGAGGCTGGTTGAATGGCTCAGTAATAGACATACTACCTGAGACATGGGTAGGAATGTGGATTTTTCTCTCAGCACCATGTAATACAAAAGATTCCCCATTTTTTAACAGTAATACTATGATAATCCTAAAAGTCTACATAGTGGCAGGGGACATGAAAAGTATACAGATACTATTTTTAAAAATCTACCTTAAAAATTTATTACAACTTTAAACTAGCTTAAATGTATACTCTTAATCCAAAAACCTTGCAGAGTTCACAGGCATTGGCCTGTGAAGTAAACGAATGGTTGTGTCATCCAGGAGCTTCTGCTTTATACTACTACTAACTCTGCTCACATCAATGAAGAAAGGAAGTGTGTTGCTGCTTTCACAAGGTCTCTTCCCATATAATACAACTATAACTGTCCAACAGTTTCTGAAATTCAAGGTCTTTCCTTTTGGCAAAATGTTCACTTTGGATTTTTTTTTACAAGACAGGTGGTCCATCTTGTGCAAACGAGGGTCTAAGATGTCATCTCTCTCTTTTAAGACAGGATGGCTTTTGACAGTCGAATTCCAGTGAAGCTGTCATCACTGGAATATTTTCTGATCTCACCTCTGTTCAAGCCTCCATCCTCACAGTATCTTGACATCGCCTAGGAAAGTTCATCAAAAGGAATACAGGTAAAAATTTTTAAAAGACAGAAACCTTAAAGAAAAATAATCTAATCACAGAAGTTTAGTCATACAAACTTACTTTAGCTACTTCATGGTCACTGATGCTTTGGGTGTTGGAGACCTGCATTTCCAGGTTAACAGGCTGCTACTTCCTGCCAATTCACTAACATTCTTTAATGGTGATTCAATTACCAAGTAAGGGGAAGTTTGTTCAGTTACAGTCCTTACAAATGGAGTTTCCAAAGCCGACAAAATTTGGTAATACGATAAGCTACTAACAGCATGTTTTATCGTGTAACTATATTAAAAATGATAAAGCTACATATGTGCAAAAACAATCAGTAAATACTGACTGAGATATTCCAATGCTATCTGACCATTATTAGTTTCCAAACTCTAAGGTATTTCCTTGGAAGGTGGTATGAATTTAATGTAGAGCAGGACAGTTCTGTAGCACCAAAGGATGCTTCTTCAAATTAACATGAGTTGTAGGAGCAAAATACATATTCCAAAATGGATAAGTCCTCAGTTTAGAATGAGTTCTGTTCTGGGAGAACATTCCTGAGTCAGATTTATTTGTGAGTCCAACAAAATGAATCTTATAGTCATTGGACACAAATATACAATGTAAAGCACTGAGAAGGCAATCACCAGTGAAATAATCTTCATAATCTGTGAAAACCTGGAAATTAAATGTTTGTAACTTGGGGACTTACTGTGCCACTGACGCACTACAGAAAATACCATTTGAATGTAAGCATCTTTTTCAGGTATCAATTGTTTTGGTGGAGGATCACCAAAAGTCACCAACCATGTGCATTATTTTGCCTATGTAAGCTGCCACTTCTCTTTAAAACTCATGTACTTCCAATTTCCACATGCACATCACATATCTTACATATAGGCTGTCATGTTAGCCACTAAGAATCTGTCTACTGAATCCTTGGTCTTGAAGTGGGACAGCTGATTTTTGATACGAATTTTAAAATTGAGTAAAAAATAAGCACAAGTAATTAAGTGAACAGTATTTGTATACATGATAAAGAAAACAAGCCCAGGTACTTAATCATGTGTGGCTATGGAGAAAGGTAGCGGTTCAAAAGGAAAACCATTTTGATCAGAATAATGCTGATTAAAATATTCTGAATTATGATCAAAGAAATTAGGACTGCTTTTAAATAATAATGTGGATCTCTATCTGAACCATTAAGAACTAAAATATATGACACACTAAAGGTTTAATAAAGTCTTGAAAGTGTTAATTTCAAAAGTTGCCATTTTCCTTAACTACTTTATATGATATAGCCACAGATGCTGGCATTAGTGGCTCACAGAACATCCTACTTAGTGAAGGCACAGCCTTACTTCTAGTTTCTGTGCTCTTTCTTTGGTGAGAGGTGCAGACACAAAGTACATGTTGCTGTGATCTGCTAAAGAGCGAAGATCAAAGTAGTATTTGGCATAAGTGCTGGCAGACACATTAACATTAAACTCAAGCAGACACAAGTAATGCCTTTCCAGTTGATTTCTGTGGAGGAAGAACACAGAAAAATGAACATCAGACAATTGTGATCAAGTAGACTATCTTCGAAAATGTCATTTTGCGCTTCTAAGGACTGCTGTAAATTCTATTAAAAAATTTTTATTTAAAGAAAAACAAAACAGTAAAAGGGTACAAGTAATACAGAATTTCAAAAAAATAAACAGTAAGAAATCACTAGTTAATAGATTACATAAAGTCATATTAGAAATAGTTGTTCAAGTTTTAAAATTAAAGCATACAAAGTGGACATTCAAACAGTGAGACTGCAAACAGTTGTGTTCAGTGATCCAACAAAACTTTATCTTACACTCCTAAACACACTTTCAGTTGTATCCTTTAGAGCACTTTCTTTCCCTCGCTTTTTTCCAATTACAATTACACATTTTGGGTTTCATTACTCCCACAGTTCTTAATACTGACTGCTGTAAATTCTGAGATGTAGGGAGGCTACTTAACTGGGAAGAAAAAATACTCATGTACCAACAGGCTGTTTTGAATTGTTTCTGTATCCCAGCACTTTTGCATTTGGGTGGACAAGAATAGTTATAGCCTATTCATTACTGCCTATTGCTGGCTCATGATTCTTTCTTCAACCTCCAGCAGTGCATCTGTGTGACTCATGCCTCACACACATTCATCACTACATTGAGCAGAGAAAAAATAAATGTATGCTAATGTTAGCTCTCAAAAGCTTGCAGACATATTGAGGGGGAAGTAGAGGGGCACCAGGGAAATATGCCCCATTCTGCTCTCTGAGGAGGCATACTCTTCAAGCAAGCGTTCTCCTAAATTTACAAGGAAGGAAAAAAAAAAACTACACTATATGAGAAAGGCAATCCTTTCCCCTGTCTCAGCATATGAGACTATGATGAACGGCATCTTATTACGGGTAACAAATTGTGACCATGACAAGATACCCATTTTAAACTTTGGAAGATGGAAAGGTCAAAGACAGGAGTCTTAGGTGGACTAAATCCCTTGTAGGACAAGAACATTGTCAGAGCCCTCACACTCATATTTCTGTGCTGGGGAAATCCAAGTTGATCAGTATCTGCTGCCCCTCACCAGAAGAGAATGTACATGTGTGGGCATACACACACATGCACAAGCACATGCACATGCACGCACACGGGTGAGTTCAGTGCAGTGGAAAGAGAAATGACTGGAAACAGCCCTGTGCTATGTTGACAAGTCAGCTGCCTTTGCACCTTTTATACACATAAAATCAGAGCCCATCAGACTGATTTCTACCCACATACAACACTCCTAATGAGGGGTAGGCAGGCACAGGAGTCTGGAATAAATTCTGTTGTAAAGACCAGCTAAAGCAAAGGTACAACTTGTGACTCAGACTAAACCCATAGCCCCAAGGATATAACAGTGATCAAACATTTATTTCAAAAGTCAGACATGGTAGCTCTTAAAGAAGGGAATGGCGCTGAAAGCTGTTAAAAAGCCATGAAGATAAACCCAGTAATATGTTATACTGCTGGTAAGGTTATAAAATACTTGTCTGCAACCTCCAGAAAAAATTACACCTTATGAAGCATACCATTACAATAATAATCCATTAAAACAAATTAATGATGGAAAATATGAATTTCTATACTGTAGATTGACAGGGTATAATAGTTTTAAGCTCATTTTTATTTTCTATATAATGTGATATTTAAAATATTTCTTAAAATGCATGCCTTAAGGGAACAAGTGAACTGGAACATGGATAGAAAAGTCACCAAAACCTTTTAAACTCACATGTCTTGGAGTGCAAGGTTCTTGAGGATCTGGCAGAAGTGTATGTTCCACACAGCCTTATCATGCCAAACCTTGAAGGCAAGGAGAATGGCTCCCAAGACAATCCTTTTCCAGTTGGTAGGACAGAGGTCAATCTTAGCATATGACATCAACCTTTCTAAGTAAACCTGCAAAGAGTAGAGTAGAGCACCGCTTTTTCATTTTAGCTCTGTTTAAGTGCTTTGCTAAGAACTGTTGTACATGATGTTTATTCTGTGATGAGAAAGGGAAGTGCGACTGAGAGATTGTGCTCAGCTAAAGCAAGATGTCAGGTCACAGCTGTAAATCAGACACGTCTACTGCCCATGTAAATTTCCTACACAGCTTTTTGATTGGAATGCCTGGACATTGCAACAAAAGTCATCCAGCAGGTAGTATTGCTATCACCTCCACATTCGTGAAGGGCACAGGTGTAAATTTGTTCAGTAAATACCAAGTGCCACCAACATGCAATATAACATACAGGTGGTAGATATAAAATGGATTTAGACATGTTGTAGTCAGCTGTGATACCTAACCCACAGTGAGCACATTTCATCTTTTCATAGTATTAAGACTTTTGTGGCAATAACTGATCGACAAAAGCACCTACCCATGGCTGATGAACAGAACAGCATGAGAGGTGCAAGATTTACAGCTATGAAGTTTTTCTGAAATGCAGTACCTTTATAATGAAGCCACAAGTAAAACAAGATGGTCCTTCTTAGAGCCCTTTTTCATATTTCCACTATTCATGAATATCCATTTTCCTTCCTACATAATTAGCAACTTATTCAATGCTTTGGCTTTATGATGAGAAGAACAGCTGCCAGCCTGTAACGCTGAGACCCCTAAAGTTCCCGGAAGTTCATGACATGACCTCAGGCACTGTTTACATATATCAAACATCTGTTCTACAAAGAACTAGGTGAGCAAATTGCTGAGTAAGGATTACAGAGGAAGCTGTTTACTGTTACTTAAATCTGATCAATACAAAGGTTTCCTGATGCTCAAGTCTCCTAGATAGAAAGCTTAAGATTTGCACATGTACCTATGCACATCCTTGTATACTTGAAATCATTTCTAGGGTATTACACTAAAAAAATTCAAGGCAAATTCCAAGTAAAGATAGATACACTATACATTTAAGCATTAAGGACAAGGAAAAAGAAGGCCATAAAATTTCCCCAAATGGTGATATTTTAGAAGCAGAGCTCATGGACTGGATATGCTATTTTAACTCTTTCTATCATAACTAAAAGGAAAAAGGCTCACTTTTAAGAATATAGTTACAATCTGTAAGCTGTCAGGCTAGCAGTCCATATTAGACAATATTCTTAAACCTTGACTGTATTCATTCTCCAATACCTGCTCCCTTAGCTATTCTAAATATGATACTGTGTTCCAGGATGCAACTCTTCTGTATATAAATGATGTGAGATAATGAAACAATGCTGGTCATCCTCAACCCCTGTTCATCTTTTCCATGGCTTTGTTGTGGGTTAGTATTCATTTGTACCACTTGCCTGTTATGTGAATGGACCACTGTTCTTTACTTTCAAAAAGGCAAACTCTTCCATCAGTATTGGTGCCCCACCCCACTTCTGCTGGACACTAACTACCTCTCTCTGAAGACTTTCCATGTCAAATGTCCCCGCCCCTCCCCAACAGGTGGTTTACATTGCTCTCATCTCCCTTGCTGAATCTCCAGAACTGCTACCTATTCCCTGGCTCACTGTATTATGCCTATGCATATCCCTCGTTTCCACTTTTTTCCTTTAACCATTTTTCCTGTATCACTGCACTCTTCTGGAACAGTCTTGCCAATCCGATTGTGGCATGCAAACTTAAACTCCAGTTATGCATCCTAACACTCCACTCTCCAACCCTCCCTAATATGTAAGCAGCACTGCTCCTTGTCTAGTACTATGAATAAAATTTATACTTTGACATATTCCACACCAATCTATGCATACTTTCTGTTATCTCTACTTCCATTGGTAACATGAAAGCTTTCTGTCCTGAGCTTCCATTTGTCTGTGGTCATCTGCATCACCACGTTGCTTCCTAACCCTCCTTCTCTGCCTCTAATCCAAACCCCACCTGCAGTTTACGTTCCCCAAGACAGTCTGGAAAGCCCTGACATGTAAGGGGCAATTCACGGGTAGATCAATATCTGCCAAATGATACCAATCAAACTCCCATGCTTTGCAAATGATGTGTGACCCTGAGAGGGTGATCCTTACCCACAGCATGCTAGTCACCCTGTTCTTGCTTGAGCACATGAAACATGTTCCTGAACTGGGGGCCTGCATCTTACCCTCTTGAATGTAATGCAGGAGCACCTTGCCTTCACTGCTCCAGTCAGATTGTACTTCAAGTGTCATCACTCTGAAGCAAGCTCTTCCTGGCCACTCTGCCTAAAACTGAGAGCCCTGAAAGCACTCTTCAGCCTCTTACAGTGCTCTGTCTTCTTGACATTTACTGCAATGTGAGATATTCATAAACCTGAAAAATATCCCATGACTTTTTCACTAGATCATGAGCTCACAAACAGCAAGAATTTTGCTCTATCTCTTTGTTCTTCCCCAGCATAAGTATCAGTGAGTATCAGTGAGTGTCAGTGCAACTTCTTGGCCTCATTTTTCACTCTGACCACACCATCTCTCGCCTTGAGTTTTCCTTTCCCCTTTCTCCCATTGCTCTGGCTACTCCTTTGGAAACTTTTCCTTTAACTGCTAAGGACTCCTGCCCACGTTTCAATGAATTCATTCTGTATATTTGGACAGCCACATTTCTTTCCTTCTTAGGCACATTTCTGTGCCTGTACCCATACATCCAAAAGATATGAAGATATGCCCCAGTTATTTCAAGGAGCATCAAGCTTACCTTGTTTACATGGACACTTCAACCTCCAACCCAGCTCTGCTTGCTGTGCTATCTATCTCTACAAATGGAAATGTCCCTGATGGGTTTCTGTTTCAACACAGGGCATGACTAAATGCCATCAGAGCAGCTGCTGTCTTGAGTGATTTTTGTCTTCAGGCTATGTATATGACTTTCCACTATGCATTTGGTAGAGGAAGGACTAGAACATCTCAACAATTTCACCACTATTGTAGATGATAAAATCCCACCTTCCAACTTCTGTGTGGATAACACAAATATGAGGACACAGCTACAGTGTATCATGACAACAATGCTTTTTAAAGAACTACTGGTACTGTCATCCTGGGCAACTTCATGAATAGACAGAAGCTGTCAACAGGGATGTGTTGATACCCATACCCCAAAGACTAGAGATCTGAAGGCAGTGAATTGCCTGAAACACAGCCTGGGTCCTGTATGATCAGCCTCAAATCAGTGTCTGTGTCTCCTATGATCCTGTTAATGCTCTCCTTCCCACCCCACAGCATGTGTAAGTGTTCACGTGTCAACTCTGTGTGTACTGATGTGTGTGGGGAAAACTCTTCAGCTTCCTTTAATTGCAATTGTTTTGTGATGAGAAAATTAAAGACACCATTTTAAATGATAATGCCTAGGGAACCCAAGTACATTTACTTTCTTTTGATAGGCTTTTTTATGGTTTGTGTCTAGATGTCCACCCAAAGCCATGGGCACTCAGAGGACCTTTTTAGAGAAGGGCAAATCTAGATTATGCAATGCTGGGATTAAGGGTGTTTGATTGCTGGGTCAGATTATTGGTTGGATTGGCACTGCCCTAATTCCAGTAGACTCTATAAAATGTAAGGAACAGAAAGAAGCTTGTCTCTCCCTATTTCTCTTATTACTTTTGCTTTCTTCCACTGACATGGGCTATTGCTCTTATGCTATGTTCCACTGAACTTTGGAGCCAGTACATTATGGACTAAATCACTACAAATTGTGAGCTAAATGAACTTTTCCCCTTTATACTTTGGGTGCCCTTTATTTTGTCTCAGCAGTGAAAGAAATGTAACAAAGGCTGGTCTCAGTAAAGTTACCATGATAATTTAAGGAATCTAACTTGAACAAAGTGACCTTTTATGTGTACAAGACCATTTTCTAAGCATGTTTCATGAAGAAGAAACATCTTACCAAAGTCATTATTGCGCATTCAGTTGGTATCCATATGGCATTAAAAATAATAGCAACAAATCTGTAAATACATTCATGTTCAGGGTCATGCTGAAAGTAGTCCTCTGGAAGCTTCTCTTCCTGAAAGGAGAAATGATGCAATGCAAGTATGAACTGAAGAAAGCTTTAAGTATTCTTAAGACAGCAACCTTCACCGTATGTTCACATGTTCCTTAAAATAATTTCCCCTGGCTTGTATGTCATTTTATCTTCTCCTAGAGACACTGGGATCTTTTACTTTGCCCAGTGATGCTTTGGTCAGTGAGGATCAGATATTCAACAGCAGCCCCATAATGACCACATGGTGCACCAGAGTCATCTTTGTTGTGTAAGCACACTCTACATTTGCACAAGATTGGAATCACTCATCAATACATCTCTCAAAATGTACTCCATTAGTAAGAAGAAGAGAAGTGTGCAAGGTCAGAAAAATCAATATTTCTTTCTACTGTGATTAACAGCATTCTAAGATGCATTTATAGCCTTAAAGTCTTATAAATTCTATGTTGTATTACTTTGTACAGGGCCTGAAGTCTAAAATATATAATGATTGTCCTGCAGCCACAACCTCTTCTGCAAGTCAGCAGCCAGATGACGGTTGAGCAGTGAAAAGTGATAATATGCCTGAGGAACTGACTTTAAATTTTACATCATTCAAACCTAACACTTTCCTCAGAGCTATCACCTATCCAGTAATGTGTATATCAGATAGTATTGAAAATTATTATTATTATTTTATTAAAAGAGAAAACAAAACAAAACAAATCAAAGCAGTAAAGGGTACAAGTAATACAGAATTTCTGGACAAATATATGCAGTATGAAATCACTAGTGAATAGATTACATATTTTCATCTTAGAAACAGTTGTTCAAGTTACAAAATTAAAGGATACAAAGTGTAAATTCATACAGTGAGATTGCAGATAGTTCTCTTCAATGGTCCAACAAAAACTCAGTAATAAGGTTTTCTATCCTACACACTTAAATATACATGCAGTTATATCCTTTAGATCACTTTCTTTTCCTCTCTTTTTTACAACAACAATTACACTTTTTGAGTTTTATTATTCCCACAGATCTTACAACTATTTTTTGAAGCAAAAAAAAAAAAAGAACAAATGTGACAAAACA